TTCAGCAATCTGGAAAGGTCCCCGACAGCAGATTTATCTAATGCAATTACTTTAATGCATATTAAGCAAGTAAAATATCTTGGCTTAGGTAAAGTGTACGTTAGTCTTTAAACTGACATATTTTTTAAAATTTTTTATTGTTATTAATTTTAATGAAAATTTACAGAGACTTTGGATTTCTGTTCATTCATTGTTGTACTTTTCTCCCTCCCACCCCTCCTCCAGTACACTCTTCTCTTTGAAAAGTAAAAGAAAAATTCTTTCATTGTTTTATAATCCCTCCCCGCAGGGTTCACTCCACTATGCAGCCTTCATTATGGACTCTTGAAATGACTATACTACCTAATTACATATCCTTTTTTTTTTTGACAGAGATTTTGGATTTCCATTTATTCATTGCTACATATCCCTTTTAAACAGTTTCTCCCAATGCAGTATACTTTATTTCCCATCTTTTTTAGTCTCCCCCCAAACCTGATGTCAGTCCTGTTTTTCCCTTTTAAACAGTTTCTCCCAATACAGTATACTTTATTTCCCATCTTTTTTAGTCTCCCCCCAAACCCGATGTCAGTCCTGTTTTACAACAGTGGTACTATGCAGTATTCATCCTTTTGTAACTGAGATATTTCACTCAGCATAATGTCCTCCAGGGTCACCCATTTTGAATAATATTGCATGAGTTCCTTGTTTTTCAATGCAGCATAGTATTCCATTGTGTGAATATACCACAGCTTCTCTATCCATTCATTTGTTGATAGGCACTTAGGTTGTTTCCAACTCTTTGCTATTGTGAACAAAGCCGTGAAAAACATGGGTGTGCATACATCTGCTTGGGTGGCAGTTATGGTCTCTTTGGAGTATATTCCCAGTAGTGGAATTGCTGGGTCAAATGGTATCTCTATTTGCAACTTTTTGATGAAGTGCCACACCACCTTCCACAGTGGTTGCACCATAAACTGACATCTTTTAAAGAGAGTCTTGTCAACAGACTTTCCTAATGTAATATATCTTTTAATTTCTTGACTACTTTTTTTTCATGTGTTGATTATGAAAACAAGTAAAATAAAATCTTTATTAACTCCAATGTTTTCTCCTGCTGAATATTTTCCAAAAATGACTGGAACAGAGAACTGCCAGTTGTGTAAGCTGTGTTTATACGAGGCCATAACATTAGGAAAACCAAAGCCAACATTAGATGGATCTTGGCCAAAAGCCGAGAGTACCAGAGGAATGTCCATCTGTGTTTCATTGACTATGCAAAGGCATCTGACTGTATGGACAACAACAAATAATGGCTAATCTTGAGAAGAATGGGAATCCCAGAACACTTAACTATGCTCATGTGAAACCTATACTTGGACTAGGAAGCAGTCCTCAGAACAGAGCACAGATGGTTCAGAATCAGGAAATGTGTGTGTCAAGGATGCATCCTATGTCCATACCTTTTCAAGCTATAGGCAGAACAGATCATTCAGGAGGCTGAGCTTTATGAGGAGGAATGTGGCATGAAATATGGTATCAAAACCTTGCTTGCTGAAACTGAGAAGGACCTGAGGCATTTGCTGCAGAATGTCAAGGAAATTCTGTATGAATTGAAGCTCAGCATCAAGAAAACAAAGATTCTCACCACTGAGCCAACTGGCAGCTTTATGATAGATGGAGAAGAGATTGAGATTCTTTGCCACTTCAGCTTACTAGGTTCCACAATCAATATTCTTAGCACCAGCAGTCAGAAAATAAAAAAATGAATTGCACTGGGAAAGTCTGCTGTCAGGAACCTCTCTAGAGTACTGAAAAACAATAATGTCAGTCTAGAGACTAAGGTGCACCTGATACAGGACATGATCTTCACAATTACTTGATATGCATCAGAGAACTGGACAATAGCTAAGAATGATAGAAGAATTGATGCCTTTGAATTGTGGTGTTGGAAAAGAGTGTTGAATATATTGTGAACTGTTGGGGAATGTTAGGGAGGAAGGGAGGGCCTCTGGCCAGAACAGAATACCTAGCTCCGGATAAGTGCAAGCCTCCCAACGGCTTTTAATACGGGACAGAGAGAACTCTCCTTTGGCCACACCAGCTTGAGAAAGCTTACCACCTGGGAAGATGGCTGCTGCACCTGTTAAGCTGGGAGTAGTCCACAGGAGGCTGAGGTTCTCCTATCCAATGTGCATGTCCCATGTCTGCAAGCCCACCCTATCCTGTCTTCCTGTTAACTTGCTTGTATATAAGTGTGCTGCAGTCCCCAATAAAATTGAGCTGGATTGACTCTCTGAATGGCTCTCAGAGTGGTATGTTTCCATCGTGCTTAACCCCACCAGGGTGTTGCTCTTCACTGCTGGCAAATAGACAGTGACAGTGGACAACTAGGACAACAAATAAGTCAGTCCTAGAGAGGGTGAAACCAAGCTACTCCTTGAAGACAAGGATTTTGAAGCTCCATGTCAAATACTTTGGGCATGTGGCCAGAAGGGACCAGTCCTTGGAGAGGAACATCATGCTCAGAAGAGTGGAGGAACAGCACAGAAGAGGAAGACCTAGGATGAGATAGATTGATTTAGTGCCTGAAGAAGTGGGTTTGGGTCTGTTGGACATGATTAGATTGGCTCAGGAAAGGACAAGGTTCAGAGCTGTTGTATATAGAGTCACCATGAGTCACAGGCAACTTGATAGCATATAACAACAATGACGACAACATCATGAGGTTGTTGTTTGGTTCAATAGTGAGGTTTGGGTTTTTTTGTTTTTCTGATTTTGAAGTGCAATCCATATTGAAGGTTGTAGTCTTTGATTGCTTCTGTAAATGCTTAAAATCTTCTTCCTTTCTGCAAGCAAGGTTATGCCAGTTGCAAAATGTAGGTTGTCAAAGAGTCTTCCTCTAAACCTGATGCCACATTTTTCTTCTTAATAAATAATTTGCCCAGCATAAATATTGAATGTATTTGTTGTTTTGGGATTCATTGGGTCAATTACAACTCATAGCTTACCCCCTGAACAACAAATCTGAAATTTGCCATATCCTGTACCATCCTCACCATCTTTCATATGTGGGAGCCCACTGTTATAGTCATTGTGATAGTCCAGTTTGTTGAGTGTCTTCTTCTCTTTTTCTGGCCCTCTAATTTTCCCAGCATGATGTTCTTTTCCAGGACAGAATGTTTAAAGTATGTGAGATGAAGTTTCACCTTCCTTTTCTCTAAGGAGCACCTTTATTGCAATTCTTCCATGACATACTTGTTCATTCTTTTGGCAGTCCATGGGATACTGTGAAAGAATACAATTCTGATACATACCAGAAGCAAATAACTGCTTCTTGGTCTATACCCAGATTTCCCATGAGCACAACAATCAAGTATTTCAGAATTCCCATTCTTCTCAATGTTATTCATCATTTGTTATGATTCATACAGATTAGTCTGTTTCCATACTCAACAAGACACAAGTGAACATCTTTCTGGTATTCTCTGCTTTCATCCAAGATCTATCCAATATCAGTAACGATGCCCTTTGTTACATGGTATCTTCTTAATCTAACTCAAATTTCTGGAAGCACCCTCATTTTTTATTATCTGTTGCAAGTGAATGATATTAAGGATTTTGTTCCAATATTCAATAATTATCAATGCGTTTTATTGCAATTTGATTAATTAGAGATTGCAAGAGTTAATAGAAATCTGAATTTCCTTAACTTTGGTTTCAGTGGTTGGCATATAATCTTAAATGATAGTTTTATTACCTGATCTCCCATGCAGGTTGATGGGTATATTGCTATCACTGATAGCATCACAATTCAGGGTGCATCTTGACATGGTGAATGTGGCAATTTCATTCTCTCTAACTTGTAATTCCTTGCAGAGTAGACTATTTAACTGCCTGATTCCAAATGGTCAATGCCAGTCTATTTCAGCTCACTAATGCCCAGGATAGGGAGCTCTGGCGATCTTCTGGGTAACGAGTTGTGTTGCTAACCTAAAGTTCGAATGCACCCATTTCTCCTTAGAAGAAAGATTAACTTTCTCCCTTAGTGCAATTTCTAGCCTCTGAAAACCTATTGGAGGATCTCTCTCAGCTATGAGTTGAGTTGGAACTCATCAGCACATAATAACAACAATGTCTACAATAATGATTCTTATATATTCCACATTATTTTTTATTCTTTCTAATTTTTTAGATTCATACTTCCGGTATTTCAACATACAACTTTTCAGTGGTATTTGCTGTTGTTTGTCCTTATTTTGAAGCATGTTACATCAGTAAATGAAGATCCATTAGCTAAAAAAGATCTTGAAAACTCTTTATGTTGGGTGGATGGTGCTGTTGTCTACTACTCAATGGCACTTACCCACAATAACAAAAAGAAAGCTCTGTTGGCCTAGTGGATAGAAAGTGATGCTATAAAAGAAAGGAAAAAAAAAGAAAAGAAAGTGATGCTACCAAGCCAAAGGTGGGTGGTTTTAATCTGTGGCCCTCAGACCTGGTTTTAATTGTTTTTGGTCAAACATTCTTCTAAAGTGGTACATCCCTGGTCTGTCCATTTGCTGTACAGGGGTAACTCGTGGTTGCTGTGAAGCTGAACACTGTGACACTGATGTGTCAAATATGATAATGGTTACCCATGGTGGACAGTGTTTGGTGGAGATCCCCAATTAAAACAAGCTTGGAAGCAAGAGTGGCATCCACTTCTGAAAGAGCTTGCCTCTGGAACTCTACGAACTTGGAGAAATGATGAAAGTTATACAAGTATTCAGGTCTTCATTCATAGGGTCGCTATAAGTCGTCTATGACTCGGTGGCACTTAAACAACAACATACCCATTTAGTCAATGAGTATTAGAATAAATCCTAAAAGACAAGGAGTGTCCTCTTTTTAGAGTGAAGCAAAGTTCTTCTATCAAGAGAATGATTCTGCATGTGCCTACGCTGTCCCAGAGACCATCAGAATGCCTTATTTGGATGTAGAGGAAACATACATGATATGTATGAGATTTGGCAACTCACCTTGGCACACAAAGGAAGATGGTGTTTCCCCTGGGTGAACTCGTCCTGTGATGAATACAACCTTCTGTTCTGCTCCATCCCTAAGGTTGTCTGTAAGAGAAATATTTTAAAAGTTTCTAAGGAGGGAAAAACATTAAGAAAGTTAAGTTTGAGGCATTGGTGGGTGTGGCTGACTGGGCTGAGGGCTTTGCATTTGTTATCTCTTAAATCACAGAGTCAGTACCATTAAGACCCAATTGTTTCTAGTATAACTATGTCCTTGGATACCCAATATTAAAAGATCCACATTATTTCCTTTCCTTGATACAACTGATCATATAAGTATCACAATGATTTGAGGAAGTCATATGAGTGAAATACAATCCCAGATACTCTGACTGTGATCTTAAGCAAGTTTTGTATTCTTTCTGAGGTTGAAAAATCTCCATGAGAATAATTATTTCTACTTAGTAAATTTGTTGTAATGATTTAGTGATAATTTGTTGTGATGATTTAAAGCAAATCTACACATTGTACACTACATAGTAAACATTGATTGAACAATAAAGAAGGTAGCTATTTATATTAAGAATAATAATAATAATAGAAATTTCCATTTGATTACCTCCTTTTCTGCCAGGCACATTATACATTATTGATAATTCTCACAACTATGTGTACTGTTATTACCCCTTTTATAGAATTAGAAATTAAGTTATAGGGGTTATATGATTATTTCCCAAGGTCATACAATTAATAAGTGGTAATGCAAGTGACATGATACATAAAAACAACAGCAATGCTGGAATTAGAACATTAGTTCTTATCTTGATGAAATTAATAGGGACATGATTTCTTTTTCACCTTAAACAATTAGAAAATAGGATTAGTGTACAATCCAACAATTTTCAGACATTAGATAAGAATCATTGTAGAATTGTAAGAGATGAGAGGGAAAAACCCAATGCTTGTCTATTTTGTGCCTGGAGGTCACAGAGAAGACAATAAGACAGTCTTACTGAGATTAAAGTTCAGGGAATATGAAGTTGTTGGAATTGTGAACCAGATATTCACTGGATGGAGTTCTGTAAAAACTGAGTCCCAGAAAACAGCAAAGTTCTCTTGAGTCATTAAGATGAGTATATATGGGTGAACCATCATAATATAAGGGAAAGTGACCTGGAAGCTATGATCTGACAAGTTCTAAGAACACACAAGGACTTAGAATCATCTGAGTTCCTACCATTTGGGTGGAAGTCCTTATAGTTTATTGTGACACTCAGTGAAGACCCTGGAAGATTCACGCATTAGTGATGGACTTAAACTACGCTCGCTCCACTCTAAAGCCAAATCCACTGTCAGTGAGTCAGTTCCAACTCAGAAACCCTCTGTCAGGTTTCTGAGGCTGTAAATCTTAACAAGAAGAGACTACCCATATTTCCTCCAAATAGTGGCTACCAGACTCAATCCACTAACATCTTGGTCAGCAGTGTAGCCCATTATGTACTACTTCACCATAACACACTAGCAAAGCTCTAAAATAACTCTCAAAAGGATTAAAAAGTAAAGGAGTAAACATAACTAGATAAAGCTTGACTTTCTTTAAAGAAAGAAAATAATACATACTCTCAAAAATATATAATTCATAATACCTAACACACAGTAAAAATTACTATACATCAAAAAAAGTCCAAAATACGACATCATTCTCTCTTGGAACCACTGTTGTATTTGAATGGCAGTGATCCTGCATTTGGATCAGCAGTGCAACTCTCTACAGACTAGGCCCATAAAGCCTGAGTGTTTACATAGATGGTAACAGATTTGGAGGATTTTGACTACATGCCTCTGTAGAACCTTGATTATGTTTTATATTCATTAAAATTCTATAGATGCTGAAAAAAAAATATGACACCAAATCAACTTAAGTTTTTGTAGCCCCTATATAAGTCTATTTGTACAAGGAAACTTAGCTTTTGAGAAGATATATTATTTAGGGAAAGGCAGTAACCAAAAGTACCATTTTTAGAAAGAAGGGGCAGAATGTGGGATGATGGGAGACAAGCAATTGATACAGAATAGAACAAAAACTTGAAGAAGATTCAGGAGGGATAATTGAGAGAAGAAGAATGAAAGGATTCCATTTGTGTTAGAGAATGATCTGGAAAGGGAGGAAGAAAGAAAGGTATAGAGATACTGATACTTAACAGGCTTTTTATTTCTGAAATGCCGCAGACAGGTCATTTCGAAAGTAGTTCAAATTCTAACAGTTGATGCATCAATGGCATCAATTAAACTTAAGAATACAACTCGATTGAATCAGTTGTTTATAGAGCTTAGGATTTGCTGATCTGTTAGGTTGACCTACTGAGTATGGTCACCACTTCCTCCATAATAAATCCCTTAAGGATAGCCAGAAAGGTAATGGAGCCAAAATACATTCAGGATAGCTCACTGTGTACTCAGTTCTATGTCAAACAGCTTCAAGAAAGAAAGAAGGAAAGAAGGAAAGAAGGAAGGAAGGAAGGAAGGAAGGAAGG